TTCTTTTTTTTTCTTCTGGCTTTCCTTTACTACCTTATTTTTTACAGTTTTCTTTCTGTCCGTCATCAACATGGTGTCATCTGCATATCTTAGGTTGTTAAGATTATGCCTATTCATTGTAAATCCTTCTACTCCCCATAGTTCTTGTATCACTGAATAGGTTAAATAAAACCTTGTCTTACACTCTTTTCTATTTTTGTATATTTGCTCAATTTATTTTCTCTCTGTATGCAAATAGTTTTTTTCTCCAGTAGATATCCTAGATTATTTTATCTTTCCCAAATAATAAAGTTTTCCTAGTAGCTGAAATTGATCTTTGCGTTTTATTTTATGAAATACTTTTTTTTTATAGTCTGAAACATAGATATACTAGCAGTAGAGCCTGGCGTTGCCCGGGGAAGAGATAGATCAAGTATTGACCATCATAGAGACTGAAAATAAAATTAACAAAGGTTTGTTTAAGTTTGACGGACATGCATGTTTTAATTAGTGTTTTTTTTTTTTTTTTTTTTTTTTTTTTTTAACTAATTGGTCAAACCCAAACTGAAACAAAAAACATAGTTTTCAATCGTTATGAGTCTACCGATTGAATAGAATTTTATTATAAACAATTGTCTTGTAAATGGAATTTTTAAAGCATTCTGAATGTAAAAGTAAAGAAAAAAAGTGTGCAATACAATAAGAAACACTACCTGCTGAAATTGTTGAAATCTGTTGAAAAATGTAGGAAATCCGATCCCATATATAAAGGAACACACACACAAACAACCTGGGTTTTATAATAAGTATAACTCTATAAAATCCCTTTCATTTTTATGCCTCTTAATCGTGTTTTCAAATTGATTTTGTGCAAAAACAATTGTTTTCCCAATTTTTGGCGCTGTCAGAACCACCGCAAGGTAATTTTACATAGTCCTGTGAAGTTTTGTTGAAATCGGTTGAAAAATGTAGGAAATCCGATCCAATATATAAACGAACAGACACACACACACACACACACACACACAACCTGGGTTTTATAATAAGTATATCTTTTTGCATTTGTATTGTTCAGTATTTCTTGGATGATATTTGTTGTATTAATTAATGAATTGAAATCTTTTTATCATTCTATTTTTAAAACTGAAATGTTCTTTGTGATTTCAAGTATTTTGTTTATAAAATTCATTTACCCCAAGCAAGGTATGCTGCCACTCGGACACAAGGAGTTACTGGGAGTGAAATAGAATGAGATGATAATGAGGAGAAAGGACAATAAAGGTACAGGTTTCAGGAATACAAAAGATGGTGATTAATGTTACCTTTGAATTTAAGATTGTAGGTAGCAGGGAAGCAAAAAAAATTGCAAAGGAGCTCCACAGTCTAAGTACGAGAAATTGAAGCAAGGTTAATAAAGGTCATTCAGATGCGAGTAGTTACTGGAAGTAAAATAGAATGAGAAGACATTAGTGAGGAGAAAGGACAATAAAGGAACACAGTTCAGGTATAAAGAAGATGGAGATTGGTATTGCATTTAAACTTAAGATTGTAGGCAGCAGGAAAGCAAAAAATTAGAAAGGAGTTCCACAGGCAAGAAAAGAATCTATTAGAATAGAACTCAGCTGTAAAACATTGAGACATAGTTGCCAATCTAGTATCAGGCTTAAATTCATGGGAGGAAAGCATTTGTTGAAAATATTAAAAAGTAAAAATATTAATAAAGATTTTTTTTGTGGAGATTGTTCATTCTTAGGAGTAAATCTTGAATATTTTGGTAGGAAGTTTAGATTTGGTACATTCTCTTTGTTGGAATTCTTAATATTTAGCAACTGAACAAAAGCTTGTACATATACAGCCTACACACTGAGCTACACACTGGCTCTCTGACAATGAAATATGCTATAAATATAAATGCACTAAATAAGAGAACTATTAGAGGGGAATATATGTACAGGCAATCAATATTTTTGACTTCTTTGTCTCGTGATATTTAATTAATTAAAAATGTCTTGAGTAATTTAGTTTGATGAAATTGATATTGCAACAAAAAATGATTAAAATAATTTTCCTATTTTTGCAGATTTCTGAATATTTTGAAGTCTTGTGACTTTGAGAAAGGCATGTAACATATAATGTATACTTTTTAGTATAAAGTCAGCCATTTAAATTATAAAATGAAGGTCCATTTTGCCTGTCGGTACTTGTAATTCATTATTAGTCGTTCACTTGGTATGTCTATTCACATTAGGTCTAATCCGTTAACACTTTCTGAAGAGTTTAGCTTATATTCTGAACTCTGAAGATTTAAATATCAGTTTAATTTTAATTTTTTTTTTTCTTTTTTTTTTTAATATTTGTAAAAAGAAAAAATTGTGGAATTGAGGATATTGAAATTCATGTTTAAACCAATTTGACCAAATGACCAAACATTCTTTTTTTGTTTTTTGTTTTTTTTCCCAAATACCTTCATGGTTGAGCTGTAAAATTTTCACCGTCCTTTCATCATTAATGTAATAATGTCAGATATACAATTGTGGAAGAGAAGAACCTTTACAGTTTTTTTTTAACTGTATATATGTATGTATGTATGTATGTATACACACACACACACACACACACACACACACACATCTACCTATTTTTTTTTTTTTTTTTTTTTTTTGAGAAAGGGATGTATTTTACTTTTGGGACCAAATTATTCACTCGCCAGTAATTTACAGTCACCTAAAGAGACGCATTGGTATGTGTCAAAATACGACTGCAATTGTGTAGCAATTTTTACATGTTGTTTTAATATCCTAATATATATATATATATATATACACACACACACTCTCAAATTTCATTAAAGAGGACTGACAAGGTATTGCAATTAAGCTTTTTATTTAATTGTGTTCATGTGTTTCTCTTTTCTGGATATACAGTGTGTAAAAATAGTCCAAATGTTCTATATTCTATCTATAAATTTACATATTTAATGAAAAAAGGGGGAAAAAAAAATCCTTGCCTTGATAATGATTAATAGAATAGCTGAAAACGCTCAGCTATATAGAAAATTGCACACTGTATGTCCAGAAAAGAAAACACTTATATGAACACAAAGATTAAATAAAAAAACTTAATCGCAGTACCTTCTCGGTCATCTTTAATGAAACTTGTATAAAAGGAATTGATGCTAAAATACACAATTTATATATATATATATATATATATATATATATATATATATATATATATATATATATATAAATTACATAAACATTTCTCAATTCACTTGTTGACAAGAGTATAATAGAATAATGTATTTGTAAAATACTTCTTGAAACTTTAAAGATGATCCATATCTAGTTTTTGGAGGAAACTCTGCTTTAGTGAGATTGTCAGATCTAACTTTACAGGAATTGTTTACTAGTATTTTGTTTCATCTCTGTTTTAAATGGTCACCAATTTTTATTCTTATCCGCTCACAGACTTAATGTTGGAATTGATTTTAACATCTCCACTTTTTAAATAATTCATTCAAAGCATAAAGGGAATGTTAGCAAAACAACATTATTATATTCATTTTTATTGAGTTATTTCAATCCCAGCTTTTCTTATTTCATGTTCTGATCTTGATGTCAGCATGGGCATTTAGTTGTAATATTCTTACAGATCTTAAATAATTCAGTAATAGTGAATTCCTCTTTAAATCTGCGTTAAATGCTGAAGGTAATGATGATGGTATAAGAACTACTTTTACTGACTTTTTCAGGTTTTCTTTTGAGAATGTCAAAACTAGTTTCCAAAGCAAAGAAGGAAAAAAAAAAAAACATTTTAATGATCAGATCAAGTACATATTTCTTGACTAATTATTTTGTAGCATTGGTTTTATGGCTGTATCATGTTGAAACATTGGTTCTTGTATGATCACCAAAATTAACATTGAGCCTGGTCAGTACCTAGATGGGTAACCACTCCAGAATACCAGGTGTAAGCTTGGAAGTGCAGGGGTGGTGTAATGGATAACTGTTCAGAATTGTAAATTGAAAAGCTGAGTTCCAATTCCAGTTGGGTTCATTATATTCACTTATGTAGTAATACGTTTGGGGAAAGGTATGAATCCACTTCTTCTCCCTCCAGCTACATAAAAATTAGTAGAACTTGTATCAGTTAGAACCATTATCTAGAATATATATTATATATATATATATATATATATATATATATATATATATATATATATATATATATATATTTTTTTTTTTTTTTTTAAAAAAGAAAAGTAACTTTTCTGACTTAAATAACCTGGAAAGGGTTGATAAGCTGTAAAAAACAAAAAAAAACAAATCAATTTTGGTTTTGTTTTTTGTTGAGGTTTGTTTTTTGCATTCAAATTTATTCCTACTGATGTTATCTTTATATTAGTAAAGTTCAGGGGCTTAAGCTGATTGTGGATTATTTTAAGTGAACCTTTTTTTTTTTTTTTTTTTAACCCCAAAAATATACACACTAATTCACAAGAAGACTACATATATAACTAAAACTTCAGCAGATCAGTTCTCAGAGAACACCAATTGGAGGATGTATATTGGTTTGAATTTTAGTAAAGAAATGTAATGAGAGAGAGAAAAAAAAAAAGTTCAAATCTGATGTCATGATAGTTCAGTGAAATTAATTAATTGTTCAATATTTAATTATTTTTTTTTTCATTGAATTATTTCCTTTTATGTACATTTTGAATTATACACTGAACTTGGTAAATAAAACCAAATATGTATAAATATTTCTACAGGTTAACTCTGAGAAATTTTTCATATTTGTTGAAATGGAAAACCAAATGTGTTTTTTTTTTAAAAAAAAAAAAAAGAAAAAATGTCTTCTTTTTAAAGTGTGTTGGCAATACAAAATATTAGGAAAGCTCTGGTCTAAATTGTGAGAATTTTAAATCTGAAAGTCTAGCTTGAAATCAGAATATTATTTTTCTTTTTTTTTTTTTTTTGTCTTGAACTTGAATGCAAGTATATCCTGTTTCAAAGTTCATGCCCTTGAAAGTGGTAAGGGGATATTCCACTGGGAATAAATTGAATTCCAATGCACACACACTTTTGTGTATGAGGGCAGTTATGACTAATTTATTTATGTACAGTTAAAGGAAAATACTAATTAAAATGCCTTTCATTTTAATCATGTTAAGACATTTTTTGGTAACACTTAACATTGAGATAAAAACTTGAAACACTATGTATAAAAGGTACAACTGACCTTAAATTCTTACATTTTGCACTAGTTTATTTGTATCTGATTTTATTGGAATAATTATATTTTTTAATTTTGTTTGAATATAATAATAATAATAATGTTCCACATCTATAATACTCGTCAGTGTAAAAATTAAATTTTTCATGAACTGATTGGAATATATATATATATATATATATATATAATGTATTTATTTTTTTAATCATTTCACCACAAGCAAGATGATAATGAGTGAAAGAGAAAGGAAAATAAAAGAACAGGAATCAGGAAGAAAGAAGATAGCAATTGGCGTTACATTTAAATTTTTGAAGATTGTATGTGGGCGGGAACTCATATATATATATATATATATATATAATAGAGAGAGAGAGAGGAATGGGTAAGATAAAAAATGTACATACATGCAGAAATACTTGCATGTACATAAGTATATTTAATTTATTTCTCGGGTGTTATAAGTACAGTGGTCAATGTTATGAAATAGAGCTATAAGTATATATTAGTGAATATACATAATATTCAACGTTGATAACACTACTTGGAGTTTCATACAGTTAATGCAATCTTCAGGTTGATTAATCGCATTAACATTGGTATTTAATTCTTTGTATAAATTGTTTGTTTATGATATAAAATATCAACTACACACTCATATATATATATATATATATATATATATATATATATATATATATATATATATAATAGTTTTAAGGTATGCTATGTTTATGAGTAAAAGTACCCAATATCAGAGATTGAGCCTATATAAATATAAAAGTGGACACTGAAGTCAATACCAAGTTGCGTTCAAGCATAAAACAGATTGTTGGTGCTTGGTATTAACCTCCGTATGTACTTACATATATGCGTGTGTGTGTTTTTTGCATGATGTATAATAATATCCAAAACAAAATTGAAGATTAGACAGTGGAAAATTTATTAACAATGTGTCTGCTCTCTTTAGCTTCCTCAGGTTAGAATGAAAACAGTCTCTTATGCTGCAGCATTGAAGGTGATGCAGTAATCTAATTTAATTTGATTTTTGGTTACTACTTATCCTCAGAGATCCCGAGGCATTTTTCTTGACATACAATTGTGTCTGTCTTTCATTTTAACCTGAGGAATCCAAAATAGGGCAGTTGCTCTTGGTGAAATGTGTTGTTAATAAATTTCCCACTTTCTTCTCTTCACACACACATATGTGTGTGCAATAACATATCTTTAAATAGTATGTCTTCTCAGCTTTGGTACTTTACCATCAACTGTATTCTTGCAGATATATACAAAATACTGATTGACAATTGAACCCACACTGTTTATTGTAGAATATATTGATGTTCAGTTGCAGTCTGGCTTATTTTCACTCCATGGTGAATAAAGAAAAAATGTTGCTGAGGCAAAAAAAAAAAAAAAAAAAACAATGGGGTAAAAGATATTTAAGGTAATACTTGATACGTTAAAAACAAAGTTGCCTGCAGAATAAGAAATATCTCCACAAAAAGTAATGGTTAACCTGCTGTAAGCCATAGTTATCCTTTTAATTGGGGATTGCATAAAGATATCTCATGCCAAACTTTACTTAGTCTCATGATTATCTATCAAGAATGAAATAGTCATAGTCTGCATTGACCTCATTCTGGAAGCTGAAAAGTGAAAACTAATCTTTATTGAACCTGGGGAAATTTCTCTTTATCAAAACGAGTAATAGTTAATATTTTTATCATCTGTCTGGTGCCTCATGGCACATAAGGTCTCTACAGAATGTCTCCACTCTGCCCTGCCTTGTCTCCTCATGCCTTACCCCAGCATCACCAGTATATTGCTTTCCTTTTCTGCTACACAATTCTTGGCCATCTTATTTATAAGTTCTATGCTAACAATTTATTCTCTCACACTCTACACTTTTCATTTGTCAACTCTCTTCTAGCTTCTTGCTTTCCAGTCAATTTTGATCTTAAAAAAATTAAATGCAATGTCAATCTTTTTGTTTTCCTTTTTTTTTTTTTTTTTTTATTGTTCTTTCTCCTTAATGTTTTTTTTCTTATATTCCTTCACATTCAATAGCCCCCTTGTATTTTAGTGGCTTTATTGCCTTGCTTGGGGTGAAATGATTTAAAAAAAATGTATTTGGAGATGGGAGACACTGACCTTGGCCTTATTTTAAAGTGTGGCCCATGTAAAGAACTCTAGGAGAATGAAAACTGATTTCAAACCCAAATAGATGAAACTGTGTTCACTTGGTCTTCTAAGACAAAGGAAATCTCCAATAGAAAACCAACATTCCTCAGAGTACAGAGGTTGGGTGTGGGGCCAATCATCTTGCACACAATTGTAGCACAATTCGATTACAAAAACCTCAAATAGAACATAACATTCATATCATATGTTAATGCTAAAGATTTTGAAAGAAGATGGAACAATATTTATTCTAGTGAAGAAATTTTTTTCTGTTCATTTGTAAGTAATATCTGGTGTTTATCACATTTTTATAATATTGATTTGAATGCTTGCAAGTATTTCACTCAAGTTTAATTGGTTTTTGCTTACCCACGAGTTAGATGATGAAATGCCCAACTTTTATCATAACTTTAAACTTGGCAAATGAATAAAGAGGACATGATTTATATTTCAGAAGGTTTCATATGAAATCAATATAGCTTATGTTATTGATTGTGGAATGTCAAAAGAGCTATTAGATGGCATTTAGCTGATGACCTTTTTTTTTTTCTTTTACCATCTTAATCACTTTAGAATTGAAAAGAAGCTTCAAGAGTCTGGAATGATTGGAAAGCAGAAGATTTCATTTATTTATCATCAAGTGATAGCACTTCTGTTGTTACATTTCCAGAACAGAAGTGTTAGTATGTTGTACAGATAGAAAGAGAAAATGGCTGTTATTACATTTTCTAAATTAAAGTGAAGATCAGAGAATTCCACCCACCCACCGAAAAAAAAAAAAAAAGAATGACTTAAGATTATGATAAAAAAGGTGTTTTTTATTTTTTTAAAGAGTGGGAGTGAATCTGTAAAGATATTCCTTTTTAAGAGATTAATTCATTTATACCATTGTTGATCTCCTTTCTAAAACTCATACAGGCATTTAAATGTACAAGTTCTCTCTCACCTTTTTTTTTATCTTGGTCTCTCTCGTTTGTTCATGTGATCTCTCGCTTTGTCTTTCACTACTCAGCAATATGTACTCTAGTTCTCATTTATAAGTTCTTATTCTTGTTTACTTGCTCTCTCTTGTTTGTGTGCTCATTCTCTTTCTTGCTCTCTCTCTCTGGTTTGTGCGCTCTCTCTCTCTCTCTCTCTCTCTCTCTCTGGTTTGTGCGCTCTCTCTCTCTCTCTCTCTCTCTCTCTGGTTTTGCTCTCTCTCTCTCTGGTTTGTGTTTCTCTGCTTCTCTCTCTCTCTGGTTTGTGCGCTCTCTCTCTCTCTGGTTTGTGCGCTCTCTCTCTCTCTCTGGTTTGTGCGCTCTCTCTCTGGTTTGTGCTCTCTCTCTCTCTCTCTGGTTTGTGCGCTCTCTCTCTCTGGTTGTCGCTCTCTCTCTCTCTGGTTTGCTCTCTCTCTCTCTCTGGTTTGTGCGCTCTCTCTCTCTCTCTGGTTTTGCTCTCTCTCTCTCTGGTTTCTGCTCTCTCTCTCTCTCTCTGGTTTGCAGCTCTCTCTCTCTCTCAGCGCTCTCTCTCTCTCTCTGGTTTCTCTCTCTCTCTCTCTGGTTTGTCGCTCTCTCTCTCTCTCTGGTTTGTGCTCTCTCTCTCTCTGGTTACGCTCTCTCTCTCTGGTTTTCTCTCTCTCTCTCTGGTTTTAGCGCTCTCTCTCTCTGGTTTGTGCGCTCTCTCTCTCTGGTTTGTGCGCTCTCTCTCTCTCTCTCTGGTTTGTGCTCTCGCTCTCTCTCTCTCTGGTTTTTCGCTCTCTCTCTCTGAGTTTCTGGTTCCGCTCTCTCTCTCTGGTTTGTGCGCTCGCTCTCTCTTTTTTTCTCTTCTTTTGAATGTAGTCATAAAAGAAAAATGAATGCTATTTTTATATTGTCAATGTAAAACAGTGGTCAGCACAACTTGACATAATTATGTATCAATGTTTCAGGAATGATTGGATTTTATGACATATAACACCTAAGGGAATATCAAGAAAAATATTTTCAGTGTATTTATCTGTAAGAATTAAAATAATTGAAATATGCAACTATAGTAATAAGGAAAGAAAAACATGTAACTTGGATAGCAAGGATATATCTTTTCTAATACTTAAATTGTGTGTTTGAGGAAGTGTAGCTTTTATATCATCAAATACACTATATTCTCTTTAATTCAAGGACAGTATTTTTGTATTTTAGTAATGAATAAGTATTTGCTCTTTCAGAAGTAAACATAACCACACGTAAGAATGTAGTGCAAAACTGAAATTATAGTCAGTCAGTGTGGATTAAGGCCGATTGGTGCTGAACAAGCCAACTCTCTCCTTTGGTCTTGCCCTGATAATAATTAGATGAACATTTTTATGATGCAATATATTCACATAATAAAAATATTGAACTTTTTTTCTTTTTTTTCTTTTTTTTTTTTGTAAATATGAGGAGGAAGAGTCTGCCCTATTATTACCCATAAACTAGAGAGAGAAGTGATAGGTGCATGCTTTTCCCAAGGGTATTAGTGTGAAGTGTATGGAAAAATTTTAACCTTGCTTATTAATTCTATTTTTCATGTGATTAATCATAAAGCTACTTTCACCTCCACAGTCCGTATAATATCAGTCATTAAAATAGGTATTTCATTTTTACAATTATCTGAAAGGTTTCTGTGGCAAAGGAATGGATTTAGACAATTTGTACTTATTATTGGACTGCTATATATTCCTATATTTTTGCTTACAGAATTTCAATGCTGTCGAGTTTGTTATAATACCTGGCAATATTTGTTTTGATTGTATAAAGTTCTACTACAAATAGTAAAATCCTGGTATATTTGCTTTAAAAGAAAATATGTAACAAAATTGGTTGGGGTGTACGGATATAGGAATGATTCTATACCAAACAGGAGTACACCAATGTTTTTTCTTAAACCTGGAAGAGGCCTTCCAAAACAAACAAACACACACACTTATATATATATATATATATATATATATACACACACACACACACACACTTATGGTGTTTTTTCTCATTTTTGCAGCGATACACTTGTCAAGGGGTTTGATTGTAATTACAATCCAATCCTTTGATGATTGGATGTAATCTGCATAAAACACTGAGTAGGCAAGATAAGTGAACATTTAATTTTATATTTGTATTAATGGTCTACTTCTTGATATGGAGCACTATAATTACAAAAACTGGTTGACATGTTATCTTTCAGAAATATCCTGGCTGTGTGTGTTAAATATATATATATATATATATATATATATCTCTCTCTCTCTCTCTCCCTCCCCAGTTAATTTTTGTTGTACCCTAAATGGTTTAAGAGTTGACTGTCTTCTAGAAATAAAAAAAATAATTAAAAAAAACATGACAAGATTTAGGTGTAACATTGGCAGTGGTAGGAGGCACTGTTTCAGCTTTTAAATACCTGTAACCTGTAGCTTCTGTAAAAATTGTTTTCACTCTATTATCCCATCCCTTCTTCTTTGGGTGTATTGCAGTTAATCAGTTAAGTGCTCTTCTGATGAACAGTTTTATTGAAAGTCTTTGCCCCCCACCTCAACCATTTTTTTTTATATATATATATATATATATATTTCTGTTTCTTTTTAATTTTTAACTAACTTTACTAAATCCATTAGTCAGATATAATCTGATTTATTGGTTTTAAGATTTTTGTTGATGTGATATTTTCAACAAGTGCATACATCACTTATACAAACACATATGGGATATACCAATGTCTTCATCTATGTAAATAATATAAATGAGTGTGTTGCATGCATATAAGATGTGCTTTCAAAGCTAAAAGCACAATATCTTTTGGGAAAGTGAGTTGGGGTAAAAAATTTTAAACTTTTGTGTGCATGCACACTTTTCTTTTTTTTTTTTTTTTTTTTTTTTTTTTTAAACTCATATCTAATACATGCCCCAAGAACTACTTAAGGTAAAGGGTTACTGTTTGGTGTTGTATTAGCATAAGAAAGGTTAAGAAGTGAAGTTCTTGGGGATGTGCAGAAAAGATAATGGCTAGCCATAGGCTTGAAGAGGTCAAGATTTAATTACTGAATAACATTTCAGAGTTCTGTATGAGATGTTAGAAGTAGAGAGTTGAAGTAGACTTTGGAAGGAACTGGAAACAAGGGATAAACCACTACTCCTGTTAAAATAACCAGGGAGGAGTCTGTGAGTTTGCATATTACGTGCAGATATAGGAAAGACCTGCACTAAATACATAGCAAATTTTTTTCATAACTGCACACAAGGGATTGCTGAAATATTTTTGGATCAACCAAAAAGCGATAAAAGAAAAATGATTGGTCATTTGATTAGGATTTGGGAAGTGGTTTGGACTTAGTTTTTCAGCACCCATGTGTATAAATATATAATGGCTGGCTGATCATTCCTAACTATACCTGTCTGCTAGGGTGGCTAGTTAATCCCTGTTGCAGGCACCTACTTAGTCACATATTTTGTTTCTTCAACAACCACAAAACTTACCTGTTATTTATACTGCAACTATACTGAGAGCAAATATCAGCAGCAGCAGAACAAGGCCAGTATGCTCAAACTCTTGGTCATGATTTGTGAATTTGTACAATCATTAACAGCTTCCAAACTCTTTCATCTACCCATCTTCACCTACAAGGCTTAGGTTAACTTGTGGTATAATTTTTCAAGCACTTCCCAATGGTATTGCAGGTAGGGATTGTTTCCCCAGGCAGATATCATCAAGATGTCACTTTGATAAAATGTCCATGATGAAATTCAGACCAAAGTTCTAATGTTCTAACCACTTGTTCAGGAAATATTCATCTATAAGAGCAAAGCAAATAGGTAGTTCTTTCTCCTAAGAAAGGGATAGTATTTATTTTATAAGAAAGAGGAGATTGTAGAGAATGATGATCTGCACTCATATCCTTAAAGGATATAGCATATAAAAAGGAAACTTTTTTTTATATATAAATTATAAATTCAGAGCATACTAATGCAACATATTTAATATACTTTATCCAGTGTATAAAAAAAAAAATGAATTTAAGATTTTTTTTTTTTTTTTTTAAACATTGATAACTCACCCATTTAATATTATAAATTATCAATTTAATGACTGTATTCAAAATTATTTGCATGTTTTTTTTCTGCTGGAATCACTTTTAAGATTTTTTTTTTTTTTTTTAATTCATAAAGGAAAAAAAAATGAATATATTGAATTCCTGCCAATGTCACATTTGATTTCTCCACATAAAAAAAAGGACCTTGTGTCATAAATTGTCATCATGGTGAGACAGTTTTTATAATAGTTTTAATCTACAAAATAATTTTTTAGCCTTGGATAATGAAGTTTTGTTTTTGTTTATACAGCATACTATATAAAGAAAATTAAATTCTCTTTTCAATAACTTAAACTTAAAAAGTAAATTTTCCTTTTTATGAGACTTAAATTTGTTTCTACAAAATTCTTGTATTTAAAATTTTATAGCTTTTGAAATTGGTTTTCATCTTTATTATTTACTTTAAAAAGTAAAAAAACTTTTATTTGAAGTTTCCCGAAAAGAAGCTTTTTCACAAAAAAAAAAAACAAAAAAAACTTAAATTTAATTTTCATCAAAAATTGTATTTAATTTTATTTTACTAATTGAACAGGTATCACCAATATATATATATATATATATATATATATATATATATATATATATATATATATATATATGAGAGAGAAAATTTTTTATTTCATTCATTATTATTTTTGTGAGGGTGGTAGGTGTCTTAATTTAGAAATGGGCTCATTGCTATATTGTTTTTAGTTTATCATTTATTTTATTTAAAAACAATTTTTTCTATCGATATGTATCTAAAATGAGTGAACTTTTGAGTTCCATTTCAATACTAATTTACTTTGGAAGGAAATTTTACTTTGGCTTGATGGTAAAAGGGGTTCTCTTACTTGAAGATTGCCATGTACTGTGAAAATCTCCATTGCTTACATTATTTAAATAATTAAACTTATCTGGTTATATCAATAGGAAATTTTGTCACTTTCATGATCTTTGTAACTCAGTAATGTTCTAACTGAATGATGCTTTAATAATTATTTGAAAATTTTGAGTACTGTATTGCTTTTTCTTGGAAAAGTATTGGTCATAAATTTTTTAAAAGTTGTTTTTCAGTCGATGAAGGAATCTTGTCATAATTTAATAAACAAAGTGAGACTTAAAGTACCGATCCTCATCTATTTATCAAAATTAAGCTGTATTTTATCTGACTTGTACTTAGGTACAGGTCGACATCTTGCTAGTAGCTGAATTTAGATTTGATGTTTTTCCTGTATAACATTTCAATCTTACAGGTTAATATTCAAGTGCATTGACAAGAAAGGGGATTGTTGAAAAAAATATTTGCAATGTAAAATAAATTCTTTTTTTCATTATTAGACTTTACATTAAGCCCATAGTCTATACTAATAGATGTCTTGGAGATCACTTCAGAATATGATGTATTGTGAAAAGGTGATCTTTTGCCAAACTAAGCCCCCCCCAAAAAAAAAGACCTATGTGTGGATTGAATGCAGTGGGAAATAATGTAAATATATGAAGTGTTATATGAATAAGATTCTAAAGAATTGAAACCATTTTTGGTAAGAACTTTTGGAAGATTCAGATTTTTCAAGGTACCAATTACTGCCCCTCCCTCCTTGCCCATGTGTTATTGTTCTATGTGAATATATTTTTCTTTTCTTTCTTTATTTAAATAGAAGACTCTAGTTAAGATGGTTGAATATCA